AAAAATGCAGCCAAACCTCTTTAAATGCAACTCTCTAATGTTACACCTCTCTAAATGCAGCATCAAGTTTAACCTAAAAATATTTTTAGCCTCCATAAGAGCAATTATTCTTATTGTTCTATAAATACACGTTGTTCCTAATGAGTTGCATTTAGGAAGATGATTGTATAATAGGCTGATTTATAACTTCATTATTATTAGAATACATTATAATATTAAAAACTAGTTAACGTTTTAAGCTCCACTTTATATGGTATATATTTATTTACATTCCTTATTCCATTTAATCAGGCTGTCAAGGTTAAAATCAATTCTTATATTTTGTTGCATCAGGAACTATGTCGCAAGGAAGAAAAATCTAAGTATAGTCATAAATGCAACTCGTTAGTATAAACCCAAACTTTGATAATGTGTAATTAGAATAATAAGAAAATCACATTTATGGGGATTAGAGGCTAGAGTTTGAAGGCTGTACGTACGTACGTCCGTTCGTACGTACGCATTTTTGTAATATCATGTGATATTAGGTGCTGTACTCATATATAGTAATTAAAGGTTGCATTACATCTAGGGGCTTGCATTTAGAGAGGTAGTACCGAATCAGTTGACTCGTACGAGTTGACCCGGGTCCTAGATATTGTATTTATTATAAGTCTACCGATACGTATATTTATCACTAATTATTGATTTCTACAATAAGACCTCTCTAAATGCAACCCCCTAAACTAAAGCTCTGGTCTAAATATATTTCTGACTTCTATAAATGTAATTATTCTGGTTTAAATATATTCTGACTTCCATAAATGCAACTTTCTTATTGTTATCTAATTGCACATTATCAAAGTTTAGTATCAATGAGTTTCATTTAGAGATAATTTAATCGGGATCGGGTCACTTAATTAAAGTTACAATTACTCCATTAATTTAATATGAAGTCTATGAGATAATTACTTAATGATTGAGTTTGGCCGTATATAAACAAACTGATTTTTTGTTTTTTGTTTTTTTTTTTGATCTCTTGTCTACAGGTAGTCGACAAACTCACAACTTATAATGGTTCTCATTTATATAAAAATTGTTTTTCTGATTTTATTTGTGAATAGTTTTATTTCTATAAGTTTGTATTTAAATTATCGTCAGAATGCGCAATTCTCAAATTCAACTGAAATTATTATTCAAACTTCAACTAATTTTAATATTACAAATTCGAGTGAATTTAATATCACAAATTCAAATAAATCTAATACCTCAACTTCAAATGAATATGATCATTTGACAAGACATAAAGAAAAATTTTTAACCTACCTTCCCCATGATGGTTTCAATAATCAGAGAATTGAATTAGAAAATGCAATATTCTTGGCATGGTTTTTAAACAGAACTCTAATAATTCCACCTATTCTATATTTCGTAGGAGTTACTCCAATCATAGCACAACCATATGATAAACTATATAATCTTTTATCACGCTTTATACATCCCAACAATAATTTTAAAGAAAACAAATTTACATTCTGCTTTAGTGATGACGAAACTGAAAGTAATTTTCGGGGTATAAAAGATATTCAAATCTATGATGCAAATTGCAATACTTCAACATGTTTTCAAGAAAATCCAAGAAATTGCAAATTAGTATATTATACAATGTACAATTGGGAAAACCTAATAGATTTTTCATTTGTAAGAAGACATATAAAGTATATTCATCGACAAGATTTTAATTTTAACCATTTAGTAGAGTCAATTAACATTGATCCCAATACTGAAGTGTATAACGTGTCCAGTGATGAGTATCCATATCAAGTACGGTATTATGATTATTCTGAATCAAAAGCCGAGCTTGGCAAATACAAAAAACGGGTAAATTTAATAACATTAAGTAAAAAAACTCAAAAATTAATGCATTTCGGAAATATATTTTCATATGGTAGAATTACTAAAGAACTACAAACAAGTAAAAACTTTTGGAAAAAGTTAATGAATAAAATGTTACCAAATAATCCAATAATAATTAATGTTGTAAATAGAATTGTTGATAAAATTGGAGGAACGAATAGTTTTATTGGAGTACATGCAAGATTAGGAGATGGCTATTTTGTAAAGAATCAAGCCAAAACGGTAGAAGGACTTATCAAAAGAATTCAAAAAGGGTTTAATGATATCAGCATCGAAAATAACAAGACTTCTTTATCATCCGTAATATTTTTGGCAACAGATGTAAAACGCAATGAAACTTCCCTTCAACCTTTCTTTCAAACTTTTCCATGTGTATATACATTAGATGATTTTGCTGATTTATTGGAACCTTTGAAATTTTTAAAAAATCCTGGAGATGGCATGATTATGTATGAATTTTTAATACCCTTAGTAGATTTGTTGGTAATATCAAGGAGTAGTAAATTCTACCAAACAGACAGAAGTACCTTTTCAAATTATGCTCGCCGATTAAATAAAATTAGATGTTAATATCTGCGCTGACTATCCAAATCGATTTTTAGTGGATTAATCATTTCGAAATATCATTATATAATCATCTTTACTTTTGTGTAAACTGATCTTAATCATAGCTCTTTCTCTGGTGTCTCACAATAATGCTGCTATCTACTTTTTTTTTTTTGGTGTTAAATGAATTAATAGTACAGTCAGACCTCCCTAAATGAACCCTAAATGAAATAACAAGATCTTATTAATCAGTCTCCGTCAACAGAGCTTCAATCATGTATAAAGTCTTAGTATGTAATACAAGGCACTAGAATTATCATTCGGCAGAATACAATGTGATGCTCGTTACCATGAAAAATATGACATTATGTGACAAATAGGGTCACGCGGGCCGATCAGATCTAAGATTTTGCCATTTCGATTTCCGTATAATCATACACTACGTGATACTGTTCCTGGCATTTTAATCACATAAACCTGCATAAATGGGTCTATGTCAACCTAAAATATGAACTAACTCTTAGAATTTGTTGATCAATGAATATTTAATTTCACTAAATCAAATAAATGAATTAATATTGTCACGGGCAGAATAAATCGTGACCACCTAAAACGTGACTCAAACGACGATCGGGTCCCGGATCGGAGAACGATCT